ATTTTGCAATAATTTTACTTCCCAATATTAATTTAACTTTTATGTTACAGTAGTAAAGTTCAGGAAAGAGAAATGGTAAGAAGTCGTAAAAATATTAAAATTGAAAGTTTCACAAAAATTATTTAAAATATAATTATTATTTTAAGCAATTTTGTTTTATCTGCTATGCTATTGTCAATCATTTTTGCTATTATCATTAATGAATTGAATCGAATTGAATTGATTGAAATAATTCAATTCCCTTTGACAATAACAATTAATGCATCACGATATGCTCCTGAACATTCCGATTTAATCCAGTCAGTTAATGGCTTTTTATACATTCGCTCAAATTCTTCTCGAATTAGCGCTAAATCAATTTCGGATCGTGAAACGATTATTCGAATTAAATGATGATCAGCTGTACCAAGACCCTGCAATGATAATAAAATAACTTCAATCTTGAAAAAAAAAAATTTTATTATCAATTAATTATAGATGATAATCTTTTTTAACCATTAATTTCAATGCAAACTAATTTAACTTAATTTAATTTAATTTAATTTAGCTGTAGTTATAGAAATATGAATAATTTTTTTAAATGAAAAAAAAGACGAAACAGTTTTTTTTTAAAAAAAAAAAATGGAATGGGAAAAAATGAAGAATAGGAAAGAATGAAAAGAAAAAGTTCCTCCTTCAATCATCCACATATAATTCCACTTAATGCTAATATGTAAATCAATAATCGATATCAATATTCAGTTCATCAATATAAATCACATTATCAGTTATATTTTAGAAATTCGTTAAAAGGCAAAAATAAAAAATAAAATTAATTCTAATATGCATTCCAAAAAATATTCGTTGTTTGAAAATGTTTTCAGATTTCAGATATGCTATTAGCAATTATTATTCTTTTATCTTCGGTAATAAAAACTTTTTTTTTTTAAAAAAAAGATTGAATTAAATTAATAAAGTAATTTCGAATGCTTTTATAATCCAATATAATTCGTGAAATTTCATTATCAAATAAAACAATTTTGATTATTTCATAATGATAAAAAATTTATTTTAAGAATTTTTTTTTTTTAAATCGTTCATCATTTTACACTAAGTTTATCAATTTACTATCATTGAAACGATATATGTATTTTTTTAGGTCACTAACAATGTACAATGCAAAAAACATCCAAAAAAAATGATAAATCATTTAAAAATCTACAAATTTATAAAATATTCCAAAACTATTTTATTTCAGGATATGATTCAAAATAGTTTTGTTTGACACAAAACAAAACAATTAAGGTATATTTTTCAATCATTGTAAATTAATAATGTTAATTTACCTTCATAGCATCGTATAATTGCTTAGCAAAGAAGCGTGGCTTATTCTGAATACTATCAATTAAAGCCAAATAAGCAGTTTTTGCATCACCACTGAATACTCTCTGCAAATATAATTGTAAATTACATTCTCTATCAAATAGCTATTACTATTACAATTCATTCACGTAAATTCATATTATATGATGATAATGACTCAAGTGAGTTCACGTTATATGTTGATATTAATTCACATAAATTCGATGCTTAAAATAATTTTTACAGCAATAGTAATAATTATTTTCTACATTTCATTTGAATAAAATTTTGCAAAAATGAAAAAACTTTGCCAAACTTTTATCATTTTTGCAAAATTGTCGCACAAATACATTGCAAAATAATTTTATTCCATTGTTATCACATAATCTTACTTCGAAATTAATTTCAACGTTTAATTTTAAATGAACTGTCGAATGTAATTCAATCTTTTTAATTCCTTGATAATATTTTTTTGTAAAATGTATAAACAAAATGCTAAAAAATTTGGGAAAGAAAATGCAAAAGACAGTTCCCGAATGAAATGCAAATTTTACTTTCTTAAATTGAAATATCAATATCAAAAAATTTGCTTACATATGTTGTAACTGATAAAAACATTTTTAGTTGATAAAAATTTTGAAACAAACCTCGACAGCTGCTATTAATGGTTCACCGGTCATACTTTGATATTCACTGAAAACTTTTTGAATTTGTCGAAAATTTTCCTGGCTTAAAACCGTTTTGAAAGTTTCTTTATCCGGTTTCTCCTTCTTTTCTTTGTTACCGAACATTCGTTTTGCTACCTTTAAACATTGAAAATAATTGAATCCAAACGAAAAAAAAAATCATTCTTAGATAATTTCATAAATTTTTATTTTGCTAACATTTTCATCTTTTATTTTACACTTAAATTTATATTATTTTAAAATTAAAATAAACATTTGTACTATTTTTTTCGACATTATCGATAATTATAGCATCTGAACTAATTTGTGTGTAAAATTATTTTCTATTAGAATTTTGAAAATTTCCAAATTATAATTTATGCTACTATCTAAACTATAATATATTGATTTCAAATTAATTACTCATTTTCATTTAACACATTGAAAGCATTCACACAATTTACAATAATTTACTACTCATTAAAAATAGTGGAAAGTCATTATGTTTAATTAATTTATTTACTTATTTTCTCTAATTTACTCATTGCTAAATATAATAATTATTCCATTTGCTCATAATTATCATACCTTTATTCAAAAAATATTTCCGTTTTTATACTCAGTTATTTTTAAAAAATTGAGAGTAAATTGCAAAAGATGCAAGAAAAAAAAAACAATTCAAATTTAATAATTTATAAAGTAATAAAAGACAACAACAAAAAAGAAACAAACTTCTCGTGCTTTTAAGTAATTAACATTGTATGACTGATCACGACGATTATTAAGCAGCGCAAGAAGTAATTCTTTGAAATCACCGCTTGTATCATCAACAATATCACTTTCCAATGTTTTACCATACTCATCTTTGTATTCATTTTTAATTGCATTTAATTCATCATCATTTCGGGAGCACAGAATATCAATTAGTGTTATTTCTGTTGTACCCAAACCCTAAATGCAGATGAAAAATAAAATGACATTTCAAATTT